CTAATTTTGATGAATATTTTTGTAATTTTTTGGTAAAACGTGATATTTTCAACTTCTTGCTGAAAACTGCAAGCCTGATTGCTTTGATATTAAATATATATGTACTACAAGTAGGTCTCTCTTAGATTTTTTTATTTCGTGATGATATCTTCAATTCTCTAATTTTGATGAATATTTTTGTCATTTTTGGTAAAAAGTAATATTTCCGAATTCTTCAGTTCTTTGATTGAAATGTGCATTGCTAACCGAACAGCCGAGCTATCTCAGCCGAGAGACTGCTTGTTGAATTTCCTCGGCGGTAGCTACTTAAATTAGGACCAAAACGTCATCGGCAAGATTCAAGGGACGGTAGTGACGACCACTAAAACGTAATTGAAGGCAAATAAACACGTGAAGCATAAAACAACTGTTTAACATCATAGCTAAAGTACGGGACTGATCCATTGTTTACCCTTGAGGGAAATGGAAATTACTTGCTTTTGAGTGTGCCATAATAAGCGAGGGTGGAAAAGTGAAGACCCTGAACGTAATTTATGTACTTTAAGTACAAAGTAATTTTTGTTTGATTACCTAACGCCTTAAGGTTCATGTGCTGCAAGTTAGAGTGCACATACCTAAGCGACCGTCCCTCCGCAAATGATTGAACCCAGGCATTTTCCGTGTCAAAATCACGAAACTATCCGTTTTCACGCAATCTGGGAAGTCCGAATTACTAAACGAAGTACAGAACGACGAAGCTGAAATATCATCGAACCAACACATACCAACAATTATATCTCAAAAGTAACTATTCGTGGTATATTTTAAGTCTAACCAGACCGAAAGAGAGAATTTGTTACTACTCTAAATATCCAAAGATACTGTAAAGGGGGTAATTATTCACTGGGTTTTAATTTAGCTTATTTCGCTGACTGGAAAAATGCGCTAAATTAAAACACAGTGAATATGTAAAGTTTAGCATAGAACACATTATCTAAATGACGAAACCGTGAATTTTAAACCCACTGAATATGCCTGAAATGGTAAATCAGTGAAATTTAAACCCAGTGAAAATTAGTCATTTTACAGTAATTTAGTATAAGGTAGTAACATGTAGATGACAATGGAATGAGCCAACAACTAATCACTAATAATGTGTTTCTTTGTGCGTTTTTTTGAAATTACATTGCAATAACGCGAAAAGTAAGTTTTGAGAGATTGCTGCTCTTTTCTAGAGACACAAATAGTTTTAGAACGGGGAAATTCCCATTGTACGACGAGTATCTGCGAAAGAGCTCTGAAGGACAAACTACCAAACGTTACGTAAGCAGTAAAAGCCTTCATCAATGTGGCTGTTTGGGTCACACGGACACAGTCCTGGGACTGTGACAAGGAGTAGAAATAATATGACATCAAAACTATATTGGAAAATATAATCGTGTCTCTACCCCTCCTGTATAATGGATTGTTGTACTTGCCAATACTAACTTTCGCCGCCTATTTTCAAAATGGAATGCTCCGTCGCTGCTAGGTTTCCCCAGTCTATGTCATGCTTTTGGGGGCAGAGAAACAAAAACAACTATATACGCGCGGGTAAGCAAGGAGAGAGAATGAACATAGAGTCTTCAGTTGACATTGACACTTGTATAACCAATTAGATTGAAGGTGTATCTCAGACTTTACAGATCAAATCAGTGGAAGGGTACATGGTAGTGTATTGCTATATTGCATCTACTAAAACTGTCAGCTTTATTATTTCTTTAGTTAATACAAGGACGTGACCTTTTATCGGCATTTGCATATTGTAATTGTCAAGCCGAACTATACACTTAACTGCAGTAACTTCAAGGGCGGCATGACTCCATACAAGGCCTATTTGTGAGTAAGACGTAATGCTTGTTTTTTTACGTTTTGCTAGAAATAGTTTGACATATTATAGAAGTACCAGTTGTCGCCGATCTGTCAAGCCTGTTTAGTGTGGAAGCAGAAATGATCCATGTAAATCGGCACTTGGCGATAGTTTGGGGCAAAGTTTGCTGCCATCTTAACCGTATCCATGTTATCTTTACAAAGCAGGTCATATTATTACCAAACGCTTCAGCGTGGTATTAAGAGTTTGTTTTCAGGGGTGGGTGATACCAAGGTGGGAAATGGATGCACATAAGGGTTAATTCCTTGAATTGCAATATAGAGGGTTCAGGCCGAAATACAATATATAGGGTTTTCATGTTTCGT